ACTCGCACATCATCGAGATAATTTCGCAAATGTCCCACTCATGGCTCATATGTTATACATTTAGCTTAATTTCTTGGTAAATGAGGCACGGCTATTGATAAGATTGCCCTTTTAGACCTCGTACATTGAGCTTTCATGCCATCTTCGGGAAGAAGAGGACCAGAACTGTCATATTTGTCATTATAAGCAGCTGCCTAGGTGGAAGCGTAGTCGGGACTCGGGCGCTTTGCAGCGGCGCAATCTGGTCTTCGGTCACAATACTGGCTTCACCATGGCTATTTCCGTTCTTGGCTGCAGAATAACACCCGCCACGGTGGTCTAGTGGATAAGGCACTCGGCAGCCGCATTCGGTGGAGGCGAAAATGACTGAGCTCCGTGTGCTTAGATTTAGGCGCACGTTAAAAAACCCCAGTTGGTCGAAATTTCCGGAGCTCTCGACTACGATGTCTTTGATTATCATATGGTGGTTTTGGGACGTTAAAGCACAATCCGTGACTGCAGTCATTACTTCAGCCCAGGTAGGGGTATTTTCGAATTATGTCCAAATTTGCCACGTTTACTTACGGGATCACGTCGCTTTCTCCAGAATGCCGCTTAGATTCACAGTGATGCACAGCCGACCTTTTCCACTTGAATAGCCGCATCTTGTGTTGTTAAATTAGGATAACGGTGCAGCATATGCGAACGTGTGTCTGTGTTTTTTTTTACCCGCGAATATAATAGACGACACGAACAACGACTGAACACGGAGCCTATACTAGTTGCTGAGCTACAGTCGATATGACCAGACTACTATACCGCAGCATCAGCGCGTTTTCGCCGCTCTAACAAGCGATAGACGAACACGGTGGATGCATTCAAAGCGTGCACGCCGTTCACTGAATCGGGAACAACGCTCGAACTGCCCGCCATAGACGTCATACTCGGCTCAGACGGCGCTGCGAAAAACGCCGCCACCAGTGGCCCCATCATCGCGCCGGCCATAAATGGCTTGTGCAAAGAGAGTTGTCCGCAAGCGAACGTGCATAGGCCCTCCCGTTTCCTTGGTCTTGAGGAACGGTTTCTTGAGAATCAAGGTCCCCGCATGCTTCTGCCGTCAATATAACCTCGCTTCAGAAAAGTAGAAAGCTCATGAAAGCGAATTGCGGGTATACGCAAAAGGGTTTTCAGTTATTTCGGTGTGCTGCAATTTAAGGGCAAGCAACCATCGCACTACATCGAGTTCGAGGCAAACACATCGACGTATGTTCTTTAACGCCTAAATGCGTTAAACTTGGGCACACACATGATGCCAGAGTGATGAAGTACATACACGAGCATTCTTTCTTACTATCAGTGGTACAAAGCTCGCTTAATCCGGCACAAATGGCTCGGACAATTTTCGTCTTTGCAGTTGCATTCTCTATCGATCTTTCGCTTCCTGTGCATCGCACTGTTACTTGAATGTTGTGTTGACGGTTGTCTTCAGTTTGTATCCACTGGAAATTGGATACATGCGTGTCCACTTTCTCGGTGTACAACGAAAGGCGAAACCGTGGCTTCCGAGATAGCTTCAGCAATCGCGGAGACCAACGGCAAGAAAAAAACCTGATTGTGGTCGCGACCATTTTGCGATTTACCTGTGTGGCGTACGTGTTCGCATTTCCTATATAGTTGAAGCCGGAACTTAAAGCCTCCAAAGCCCTACGTTCGTAATGTTGTGAGGTGCCGACCGCTTCCGATTATCCGTGGTCGCGGCGTGTGCAATGTTGATCACGATACAATAATTGTATGAAACTCTATGGCATCAACTGTCTACTGTTGCACGACACGCACCACGCTCTGTTAAGCTTCATAATTTAAGTTACCGCGGTTCTCCGTCAAGGCTACTAAGAACAATAACAGGAGACATACACTACTGCACTTTCTCATGCGGCCGGACGTGGAGAACACGAGTAATTCGATCGCTTACCCACCGCGTTTGTGACGGCCTATATCCAGCGCTCTCGCCATTCTGCTTCGCGAAAGCTGCGGAAATGAGCAAACTGAAGTCATTTATAGACGTCGGCTGCGACTGGGGTCTTTTTCGTAGAGCGCGGAGCTGTTGCGCCTGCTCTTGTTTTTCCCTTCCTCCATGGTCTCGGGCATGGAGGAAGGATAAACTGAGAAGAGGCCCTATCCTATCCCGATGCATTGCGAGAAGTGTGGGGGAAGTGACGTCAAATATATGGGGCAAACAAACCAGTATGGGGCAAACAAAGCAGCAGACGCTCCGCGGCATGCTCTCAGCGCTGGTTCGCTTCTGCGCGTACTTATAGTCAGTAAAATGTTGCGAGCCCACCTTTCCGCCCGCCGACCTCCTTTGCTCACCCCCCACCGAGGGACAATGGGAGGCCCTTCTCTCCAGCAACGACATAGACATCCAGACACGGGTCCTGAAACGAGCGGAAGAAGTCATCGAGAAACACAGCCTGGCAGCCTTCGTGGCTTAGCCTCCCTTACCCCTCACCCCTTCGACTAATAAAGTTGTTACTCACTCACTCCGAGACTGTTCGTGCGTGGCAGGGCCGAGCAGGCTTGCTGAAGTATATACTTCGTGGAGTGTTTTTGTGCAACAGCAGAGAGCACCGGTACGTGTCGTAACCAAAATCATTCAGTCCCTACATCATCGTATTCGAACTCAACCAGCAGTGACTTACGAGTTCTGCTCACCGTAAGGCCTTTTTTTTCTTGCCAGATTTGCCGATTTACGGGCCGATTAGCTGTTCTTTGCTAGTATGTGGTGTCAGTGTGGCAAAGCACGATTTTGAGAACTTGCTTCTTAGCTATTCCTTGCAACGCCAGCCTAGTGCTTGACTTCACGTCGGTAAGAAGACGCCACTGTTTTGCATACGCGATCGTGCACGTAAAGAGCATAATTCCAGTGCGCACACAACTAAATTAACACGCTGCGAGCGCACACCGTTGAATACTTACACATTTAGTCGATAACTAGAAAAGTTTATTGTCCTTCCGTATAACGAAACAGCTTCTACAAACGCGACACGGTGCCTACAACACTAATAACGAAAGTTCGCGTGTGTTCTCAGTTGACACAATGAGCAAGAACCAACGGAGTGTACAGATGAGAGCTCCACATGCAAATGCCATGCAATATTGATCAATAGTGAAGCGAACATACGTGAAAAGTGCCACCAGGTTTATCCGGCGGTATACAGATGGGCATGGCACAGCTTTCCTTTAAAAAAACACACCAAAAAAAAGCAGTACTCGTGAATTGACTCACTACCGGCAGAGAATACCTACGAGCTTCCACTCCATCGGTACAGTTTTCAGAACACTGTACCGTCAGCGCCGCTTCCAAGGCCGCCGTGGCAGCTGCTCGCCGAAAATTTCAAACTGTTTATCTGCTTTACCGCTAGGAAGGTAGTGCGGGTGTTTGCAATGTGGCGGCTTTACGATTATGACGTCATGGCCTCTCCTATATTTTTCCAACGCCTCCTAAAAAAAGTATGCCTGGAACGTGAGCGGCGAACGCGCTGCCCTACCCTTTGATTTTACCCTCCTCCTTCGGTACGAAGGCGAGCGTCTCCGACGGCCGCCCCTCGAACACAGCAATGCTCTCACAGTTGCCTCCGGGCAGCCGAGATGTCACGTGACTGAGCGGTACGGAGGTGAGCGGTCTCACGCGTCGGCCGGTCGCAACACAGGGAAGGAAGCATGGCCTCCGAGATTGCGTTCTGGCAGGAGGCTCCCAATTGAAAAGAGAGCGACGTTCCAGGCATAGTTTCTCTAGGAGGCGTTGATTTTTCGTTCCATCAAGGCATAGCCTCCTTGATATTCCTTGTCTGCCGTATTATGGGTGGTCACTTGGGAAGCGGCCGTCGTCATAACTATGGTGGTGGCTCTTCTTATGCAGGAATGTCTTGAAATAATTTTTTACGTTTTTAGAGCTTATATCCAACAAAAATAATATAATGAAGTTTTAAAAAGGCTTAAACGTAATTATAATTAAACCTACGTAAGTGACGCAGTTGAATATGTCAGGCGTTTTGCCCTCATTCAACAAGCAACCCCTTCAATAAAAGACCTAGCCTCCGAAATCAGCAAACGCCAAAGTTGCTGATCTCAAAAGCCAAGTACAAAGACCCTTACCCCTACGTAGGCAGCGCCGCCATAGATGGCATGCGTTTCGCGCCATCCGGCAGGCAAAGAAAATCTAGGAGGCTATGTCCAAGGTCTCGGGTTCCCCACACACGTGACCACGACATTATTTCCTGTCCAGACCGTAACTAGCTCACCTTTGGCTGACTGTTGGCTAGCTCAAGGAAGTGTGGCAGTTAGGGCTAAATAGTATGACATGACGATAGCTTTAGTGCGAGAACAGAATGACGACTTGTCTCTTTGTCGTCGTTCTGTTCTCGCGCTATAACTATCATCCTAGCTCAGAGGCCTGAAAATCGAAGAGCCCCAGACTGATCCCTAAATCTGGCAACTGTCTTATGCAACTCCAAACCATCGGTAGGTTTTCTGTGCCGTCGTGCTTCAAACAGTACCTTGCCCGTTTCCTTTGTTAAACACAATACTAAAGAGTTCAGACAATGACACCGAGATTAACGTGCCAAAACAACTCAACTGGAATTGAATTCGACGCTCTATCTTTACAGCGCTTCTTCACGCCGTATTCCGCTCTTCTGTGTGTTCCTAAAACATCTAGCATGCTGTGTATTAGCGTTCTGAAGCAGCGAGGAATATCAAAAGTCATGTTTCCTGCATCTATGAAGTTTACTGTGTGGCGATGATGTCAACCCATCTCTCGTTTCTGTTTTTATGAGGCAAGCAGCCGCAGTCGTATTAAAGGTGGTGATGCGCGCTAGTTAGTTGTGTTACCGGCGTATGGCGCAGTCACAATTTTTCGGTCGACTTCATTTTTCTGCGCCAAAGTGAAGGCAAGTTCGATTGAATAAGTGAATAGGTTCGAGTGAATGAAACATCGCTTTCTCTTGATGATTTTGTCTCCCAGGCGAACAATAGCGTTGCCAGTCCACAGGCTTATGGTCAGCTGCTAGCCATCTACCTCCTACAAAATGATCTGTAGGTACAATCTTCACTTGTATGCTTGCTGTGTACTTAACACTATCAACCTGCATTATGCTACTTAGGCCGAATGCCAAATTCCCCTGGAAGAGGATTCCTCAAGAAATCAAGCAGGTGTTTGTTTATACGCGTTTGACCACTTTATTTGCTCAATGTGTTGCTTCAACAATGCCACAACTTGCATTTTGTGAGCACTGGGGCACATGGAAACACTACCATGGCATTCCTGTCATGGGTCAATAGCCTTTTGAAAATAACACGCTTGAGTTATAAACTTTCTGTTTTATTTTTTTTTTGTTGAGAAGCAAATAAGTTGCCTGATGCTGCTGCCTTAAAATAAATGAATACTCGTACTCACTCTTGGCTTAGGTAATACAGTGCCATCAGATTCTGTGTAAAGTGCAGAAGCCATTCACTCTGCTGTATGGCACAATTCCTTGATAACACAGCTAAGTTCAGACTCTGGACTTGGCAGTAATCAACGCAGTACTATTTTTCGTGAGTAGTAGCATTGATGAGTACTTTCGTGTGGCTAAACATTTGCACAGGTCTTATGGTCTCATTTCACCTTGATGTTATAGAGGGACATGTATGGGCTGATAATACTTGCCTGTTTTTTTTTTTTTTTGCAGCTAGAGCTTACTGTGTATTGGAGCTACAACTTTTCTTGCACAGTTAGTCGAGAAATCGCTGGAAATTTAGCCTTTTACCAAAAGCTTTTGGTATTTATGCAGTTAATCTGCTACCGCACACATAGTGTAGGCACTTAAGGTGGTGGTCCCACTCCGGCCGCAACCACTCCGCTTTTTACGCATTGTTTGCGGATGCACTGGGCTCACTGTGGGCTACTTTAGAAAGCTTATTATCCCCCTTTTTCAATGACATCTGATTTTATTGCCTGGTCGGAAGCGTTACCGAGTAGCCATGAAAATAGTATGAGCAACAAAAGGATTTTCACTGTACAAGCCTCTATTGTACGGTGAATACGGCAAAAGTGCTCAAGATAACAAAGCAGAATTCACTCTGTCTTTAGAAGAAGTGCCATTCAAGGTTTATATGAAGAGATATTGAATATAAACTAATAATTATTTAATTTACGTTCCAATGAAAAAGGGCAAAATAATGAAGTGTTGTGTAGAAATATCTTTTTCTTTAGATAGCAGAACCATAATATTTAGTGGCTATATAGATTGCATTAGACTTATTTTCCATATGAAGTCGCTTAGTGCTCTGACGAAAACTTGATGAATTTTTATTGTTTCAATGGGGCAGTTTATGGCTGTACTTTGGATTACTGATGAAGCGACAGAACTATAGAAGCTGATACCCTGAACTTCTATATAAGAAATCAGTAGGCCCCTTTCTGTGATTCTATGAAGAGGAAATTCATTTATCTTTATTAGGGAACCTACAAGACAGCATTAAATATAGCTAATTTTTCTGCGGGCCAGTTCCGTAGAAACTCGCTTTTTTTTTCTTTAAAGACGCTAACTATCAACGAGCGTTGCACATTAGTAGATGCATATTGTGTCTTGTATTCATTTGTGCTCACTAACTTGACCACTGAGTGCTTTAAATTAAATATTTTTAATTAATGATAAACCTCACAGGCGTTTTTTCGTGTTGGTTTTATCTATTAAATAAAAAATCAAGTTTTTTCATCTGAGTTCAAACTTTTGCCGAATGTTCCGCAATGAAACATAATGAAACGGGTAAAACAGGTATCGATTATAAAAACAGGTATCGATTAGCCTCACAAGGTAAGGCTAGTCGCCAAGCGTAACCCGCACTGACCGTAAAAGGAGGAGGGCACAGTATTTTAGGCCCGTATACAGCCACATAACATAATCATAGCTCACATTCATTGTATATCAGAAATGACTGATTATTGCAAACTTTCCATCATCGGTTATGGTGCTTTTTGGCCAAGCCTGGTCCTTGTGCCCTGAAAAACGAAATGTTATCACCATCGATTATTCAAAGCTTCTCTGTTAAAGCAGAAAAGTTTAAAACGAAAAGGTGCCAAAAAATGATCTCGTATTTAACATGCTTTAAAGTATTTAAAATCTTTCAAAATACATGCCTAGTACAGCAAGGCTTGAGACATCTGAAAGGAAACACCACATATTATAAACCTTGAAAGAACATATGCTTCGGCATTTTCTTCATTCATGTTCACTTTTTTAGCACATTAAACTATCAAGGACTGCAAAGAATGATGCAGTGCCCGAATTGTTTTTGTTCATTTAGTTCTCTCAAAAAGGGAATAATGATAAACATAAACCGGTTATAAGTGTCGTGACAGGGCGTGCCACTGAGATTTACGCACACTATGGCTGTCTACTAAAAGCACAGTTCTTTCAGAGCATGGAACAGATAAGGAGGGCGACTTTTACACTTCTACGAAAGCAAAGCAGATGATTGAAAGGGCCAATTTGTCATCTTTCATAACAGTGCCATTTTATGGCCTGACATTACCACATTGGGTTAACTGATAGGTAAGTTATAAAGCAGATTTGGTCTGAGCATTTTCTGAAGGCTTTGTTTCGTGGCATCTTAAAAGAAAATGTTAAATTAGGCTGGCAATGAGCGGTCACTATGTTTTGAAATACTCAAACCAAGAGCTTAGGTTTTTTTTGCAAAATTTTTGAAAATATTTGTAAGGGGCTAGTCACATTCATTAAGCTGGCCATGATGTGGTGATCCCACTTTTCTAAGTAAATCAATACAACCAAATAGTAAATGAGCCATTACGGTTGTACACACAAAAAAACTGAGCCCTCAGTGCATCTGTGAAAATTTCAATTTGCAGTGGCTACTTTTAAGCTTCTCCCATTGTCACCACCTGTCATTTTCGCCATTGCTGCCTGCAAGTTCAGGCCCACCAGTCTGCTTAAAACCAGTCTTAAACCACATTGGATGTCTTTCTTTGTACACTGTGGCATCGAATGGCACATCAAGGCTGCCACATCTGAATTGTGCCTCACTCTGAATTGTGATCACTTACACAACCAGAGAAATCTTCATAAACTACCCAAGCCTGACTGCCAAGACACACTTGCCAAAACAAAGCATGACATCTGTGGTGTATTACAGCTCTTGCAGTCACTTCTGGCACTTGCTGCGGATAATGGCATCATCTTCAAGATTGGCTTCCATCATTGGATTAGCAAACATTACCAATGTAAACTAGAACCGTCTTCTAGATTGGTTCTTTTTGAGAATACTTTCACTGATTGTATCACACACTGTTCATGCAAAGCCATAATTGTGGAAGATTGGAAGTCCTAAACTGAGAAGCCTAAGTTTCTTATCCCTCCTATCAGAAATTACCTCCCAACTGGGAATTCCAATGCTCGGTTAAGAGAAAAGTGCCTTATCCAAGAGGTATTCTTCAAATCGATTAGCCTTTAATAGGGTTTCTTATACAGTATTGCCACCTTAGAGACTCTTTATAGTGTTTTACATTAAAAGGAGTGAATGCTTTCTCCTGTTGACTTTTATTTTCTGTGTAAGTCTCACACAGAGCTGAGAAACATCTGGAAGGTTCGCCAAGGTCTATGGTTCAAAGATTTCCCAGCACTTTACAATGTTTCATCCCAGGAATGGCCTGACCATATCAAACCTATCATGCAAGAACTTGGAGATTAGTTCAGTAGTTTCCAAGCACATGTTTACCCTGCCTCTTTATGGACTGTCCTGAAACTTTATGTCTTTTTTCTTTATTGTTTCAATTTTGTTCATAAATGAGCGGGGTATGCGAAATCAGGCATATGCTGCTGTAAATAATAATTGACAACATTGATATGAAATAATATGGACAATAACATGAATTATGAAAATATTATGAATAATAATAATGTTCGTATTAATATGAACAATGACATGAATTGACAACAATAATATGAATTGCAGCATTTCTAAATCGGAAAGTCTTCATGCTGTCTTTCTTTTGTGAGACAAAATGCAGTCACTGATCAAGTCATGAAATGATCCAATGTTTCGGAACCGCATATGTGTTCCTTGTTTGAACAAAATAAACAATGAACCTGTATGCAGTTCCAAAGCTTCAGATCATTTCATCAGACTCTTCAGTGACAGTGTTTCATCTGATCCAGTGCCTAACTGAACAAACTTTTGTCGAACGTTTGACTACGTTATTGTTTTTTTTTTGTGAGTGTGTGACTGGCAACTATTTTTTCCATTAAATATTAAAGTTGTTTTTCTGTTTCAAAATGCTTCACATGCATTTTTCCATTTTTTCTGTATTTATCTGGATTTTTCTCTTGTATTTACTCTGTACTTGTCCCCTCCCTATTCCTCGATACCCTATTGGGCCCTGTAAGGTTATATAAATAAACAAATGAATAAGGGACCACTGAATTTTTGTGGGAAGAAAAAAAATTCATGGATAAAAAAATTCACTTGCCCATCCACGACTTTTCTTCAATATGGCAAGCTGAATTTCAGACTATGTTCCTCTTTGTAGACTTTCTAGTTATTCTTGATTTAAAGCTTTTTATTGTTGCAGAACAAGTTTGGAAGCAGTTTCAGCGTGTTTGCTTAGGTGTCATGTTTGTGTGTAGAGTGTGCTATGGTGAAGGATGCTACCACGTAGGAAGGGTTCAAGCATACTTCACTTTGCAATATGTTGGCTGGAAAATTTGCTGCAGTGGGTATCTGCCATTCAGGAACAAGATCATAAGAAAATGCTGTGTTCCTCTGCTTGGAGCGTGCTCTGCTCTTCAAAATGCACAATTCGATGCCACACTTAGCTGCTAATTGCAAAGTTCTTTTTATCTCCAAAGCTTCAGTGCTGGGCAGCAAGAAATGTTTCTTATCATCTAGTCATTATTACCTTTTTGCAATTTTTCAAACCATCAGTCACATCAGTTTTATGTTTTTTGCATCAATTTTATTTTTATTTTTTATTTGTTATATTTCAAAGGCCCCTATTTAGGGGTTTTACATGAGGGGTGGGCATTTATTGAGAACAATGTCATTGGTGGTCAGTAAAGAGTTCTAGTACATAATATCTTCGATTGCTTCGTGAAAATGGGTGGGGCTGGGGATGACAACGGCATCGGTTGGCAGATCATTCCAGTCTTTTGCTGCTTCGATAAAGAAAGAATGCTGATGGGCAGGAGTGAGGGTCTTTCCTGGGTTAACAGTCAATGGGTGGTTGATGCGGTCAGAGGGACGATGAACTTCTTCAATCACTGTCTTAGCAATGCGTGAATGATAAAACTTATAGAACAAGCACAGTCGCTTAACTTTACGCCTTGTTACGAGTAGAAGATTAGCTCGGCTTTTTAGTTTAGTGATGCTTGTGTGGTAGAAGTAGGCCGAATAAATAAACCTTGCCGCACGGTTCTGCACAGATTGAAGTGTATTAGATAAGTTAGATAGGTGGGGATTCCAGATCGCACATGTGTACTCAATTTTAGGTCGAACCAATGTTTGATATGCGAGCAATTTGACGAGTGAAGAACAAACACGTAATTTATGGCGCCTATACCCAAGCATGCGATTAGCATCGTTGGTCACGTTCGAAATATGAATTGACCAAGTCAGATCCTGTGTTAAGGAAACACCCAGATATTTATAGGATTGAACATATAAAACATTAGAACAGTTAACTACATAGCAATGCGGGACGTATGTCGTTCTGCGGTGAAAAGACAGTGCTGAAGTTTTGGAGACATGAAGATACATTAGCGATGTATCACACCAATTCTTAATATTACTAAGGTAATGCAGTAGAATTAAATTGTCGTTACAAGTGTAAATGGGACGATATACGACGCAATCGTCAGCAAATAGACGTATGTTAGATTGAATATTATTTGGCAAGTCTTTATTGTAAACTAGAAATATTAAGGGCCCTAAAACTGTTCCTTGAGGCACCCCTGAGAGAACGGGAGATAAAATTGAAGAGTGCGAGTTAGCGAATTTAAACTGCTTACGGTTAGTTAAGAAATTTTGTAACCAAGTCAATACATCGTGATCAAGGTTTAGACGAGATAGCTTCAGAAATAATCTGTTATGTGGAACTTTGTCAAATGCCTTCTCAAAATTAGGAAATATGGAATCTACAGGAACATTTGTATCGAGGCTGGTACTGACGTCATTAATAAATAAGGCTAACTGAGTGTCGCATGAGAGTCCTTTTAGGAAGCCATGTTGATTGGGGTGGAAATTTTGTGACGTGGGAATAAATAGCATGTTCCATTAATTTACACGGTATGCTGGTGAGTGAGATCAGACGGTAACTACTCTGAGCTGATGGATTACCTTTTTTGGTACTGGAATAATCTTTCGCACCTTCCTTTAGTGATACCGGATACCACCTTCCTTTAGTGAATTAGTGATACCGGAAAGTTTTTCCAGTCATCCTTGGTAACATTCTGTAGTTGATGCATCCAAGTGCATTGATATGGTACCTGCCATCAGAATGTAGTAATATAGATACACATAATTTTCTACAATCGCTACTTCCACTTAGCCTTGGGCACATTTTCTAAGTAATTATGATACCTTTTCAAATTTTCAAAATTATAAGGTATAAGGAAGAAGAAAACGCATCGTTGGCAAGCAACATCGCCACCGCTTGGGTACTGGGTGCTGGGCTTCTCTCGCTCGGCTCGTGCTGATCATTGCCGGCATCTGCTTGGCCGTTGCTCTGTCCCGATCGTGTTTTCATCGTAGGGCCACCATCGCAACAGTCGCCAATAAACCCTTTTTCAATTGGTGGAGGGTGTTGACATTTCCCATCGCCTGAACCTGGGTGCTGCCATTCGCCGTCGCCTAAACCTGAAGCTGCGCAACCGAACGCTACCTCCCGTCATGGCCACTAACAACGCGCAACCTGGCTCTTCCACTCCATCTCCCAGCAACCCCGGCGTTCTTCGTTTGCGAGAGCCCAAGGTCTTTAGCGGAGCTAACGATCTTGGGCTCTCGCAAACGAAGATCGTTCGCGAACCAGTATTCCACCGACGCGGAAGACTGGTTCGCGAACTACAAACTGGTGAGCGCAAACAACAAGTGGGATGACGTGGACAAGTTGACTAACGTCATCTTTTACCTCACTGACGTGGCCGAAGCGTGGTATAACAACCACAAAAACGACATTACGACGTGGTCCATCTTCAAAACGTTGTTTCCTGACGTTTTCGGCAGATCCACTGTCCGCAAGTCCAGAGCCAAACAACGCTTGTGGACTCACGCATAGAAGCCGTCTGAATCGTTCACCAATTACATCGAAGACATTATTGGACTTTGCAACCTTGTGAACACCACCATGCCCGAGTCGGAGAAGATTCAGCACATCCTCAAAGGGATAAATGACGGCACATTTCAGATGCTCCTGGCGCGCAATCCTGCCACCATTGCGGAACTTGTGACTTTCTGTCAAAGTTTCGACGGGTTGAGGAAGCAGCGTGCCCTGACTCGGCCATTTTCCTCACACGCTGACTCACTATTCAGTCTTACTTCTGTTCCTGATTACTCACCAACCCTGCAAGAGATTAAAGACTTCGTGCGTGAAGAAGTAGCTCGGCAGCTGTCGTTGATTCCCTTCACGCAGCAGCCGCCATCTTCTCGTCTGCCCTCACCACTCCGCGACGTCATTGCCGAAGAGGTAGCTCAGGCTGTTCCCGTCACTGCCCACCAGCAGACTGTGGCCATGCCTGTTCCCCATGCGCCGGCTATGCAGCCCGTCGCAGTGCCTCTTATACTTATGCCCAGGTGGTACGCAGCAGACCCCGCCAGCAGCATTTGCCACCCATGTCTGCACTTTCTCCCCACTCTACCCCTCTTTCGACACCTTGGGCCACACCGCGAGTCAGCAATTCCTGGCGCACTGCTGATAATCGACCAATCTGCTACGCGTGCGGTACTCCAGAACACATGGCACGATATTGTCGTCGTCACTTCCACTCACAACACAACGCTACTCGGCCGTTACCGTATGACCCGCAGCCCACGCACCTACCTGCTCCCTATCCCTTACCGCAGTATGGATACACTAACATTCCCGAGTCTCAGTCACCCCAGCCCCCATTTCCGACTCACTCTCCCCGCTCGCCGTCTACTCGCAGGCGATCTCTGTCCCCAATGTGTCCCCGACCCGCTTCCTGCAACCAGGAAAACTGAACGCCGCAGTTCTAGAGGCAAGAACTGCGCCGTCGTCGAAATGCCCAAGTCCTCGCACTTCCCCTGCTAACGTCATCGCCATATCTGTCGATGGTGTTTCTACCTTTGCCCTCATTGACACAGGTGCTGCCGTTTCTGTTATAGCCGCCCAGGTCTGCTGCTCCCTACGCAAAGTGACCACGCCGCTCTCTGGACTATCGCTTCGTACGGCTAGCGCACAACCAGTTCGACCTCTCGGCACCTGCACAGCCCGCATATTCATCCAAGGCTCTATGTAAGTTGTCGAGTTCATTGTCCTTTCGGTGTGCTCGCATGACGTTATCCTCGGGTGGGACTTCCTGTCACATCATCATGCCGTCACCGGCTGCGCATGCGCTGAAGTTCAATTTTCG